AAAAAAAAAAAAAAATTGAATAATATAATGAATCCAAATACATGAATTATTCAAGTTAAATGAGTGTCAAAATTTTGCTATGTGTTTGAGATTTTTTTTTTTCTAGTAACTTCCTGGTGTTTTAAAAGTAAATTCTCAAACATGAACCTAAAACTACTTTCGACTCTCTGCTAACATGTAAAGACTTTCTTAAAACATAAGAGACTTGATGTAACATGACACTTAACAAAATTTAATATTCACATTTTCACAAAAATATGCTGTCAGAGTTTCTCAAAAAGGCACATTGTTTGAAAACTGGGTTTGTTCAACTAAGACTTCAAACAGGGTCTGCCCCCACTTCCTGCTCCCTTGATGTCTCTTAAATGTCTGTTAATCTTGTCCTTGTGTGATTACATACTCTTCATTTTTAAAAGATTTCCTTTAATCATGTGCCTGTGGGGGTACATGGAAGTCAGGAGAGGGTGTTGAATCCCCCAGAGCTGGAGTTCTAAGTGGTTCTGAGCTGCCATCTTGGATGCTGGGAGCCACTCTTGGGTCCTTTGTATAACCACTGAATCATCTCTCCAGCTCCATCCATCATTCCTGTTTTTAAAGACACATCTATGCTATAAAGTTTTGTACAATCTGGATTCCCCTTGGCATCTATAACTTATGGCTGTGATCTCTGCTCTGTGTCAATAGGTAAGAAGATGTAGGTGGGTTTTTGTTTGCTGTTTCTGTTTCTGCTTCTGCTTCTCCATCTTCTTTCTATGCAGGAAACCAACCATAGAAATGCTACCCTTACCTGCATCCCAGTCTTTTAGCTGCAGAGAGTTGAGTCTGGTCATCCCTTACTTTCCGCCCCCCCCACCCCCTCCCGTCTCTCTACTTTCTTTCTGCATCCTTTCTCCTTCTCTCCCTCCCCTTGTCACTTTGTTCTTGACTTAGTCCCTGTTCTATTGCCGTGAAGAGACATCATGACCACAGAAACCCTTTAAAAGAAAGCATTTAGTTGGTGTTTGATTACCCTCTCAGAGGTTTAGTCCATTATCATCATGGCAGGGAGCATGGTGGCATGCAGGCAGATATGGTGCTGGAGAATCCTTGAGCTGCAGGAAGAGAGAGACATAGGCCTGGCTTGGGCTTTTGGAACCTCAAAGTCCACCCCTAGTGACACACTTTCTCCAACAAGGCCGTACCTCCTAATCCTTGTCAAGAGGTGCCACTCCATGATGAGTCAGCATTCAAATATATGAGCCTATGGGGCCATTCTATTCAAACCACCACAGTTCTTTCCTTCCTTCCTGCTTGCTTTGCTTCTTTCTTCTTCCCTCCCTCTCTGCTTATACCTTTTCTCTTTCTTCTTTCTTATGTCCTGCCTTTCTTACTCATTCTTCTCTCTTTCTTCTTCCTATTTAATCTCCCTTCATTTTCTCTCTTCCTCCCTCCCCCCTTTCTTCTCTTCTGTTCCTTCTCCCTCTCTCTCCTCTACCTCCCTCCCTTCCTTGCCAGCAGCCTGTAGGTGGTACTGTTCTCTTCCTGTCACACGCATTAGTAGAACTAACACATTTCCTGTTGTCTTGTTTTAGTGGTGTTAAGATTCAAAGCCGGACTCAGGTGTTCTCAGCTTGACTGATCCATTATAAAATTTCCCATCAACCTTTCACCTAATTAATGGTGTCAGCAGTGGCAGCATCTTCCCCTACATCCATTATTTCATTAGTGCCTGGAAAACGGTGATTTTCTTTTTTAGAAATCTGCATTCATTCTGCATTTCTAAGCTGTAACTCTTCACCAGAAAGCTTTTCTCTTCAGCTGTCTGGGTAGCTGAAACACACACTCCAAGCCAGAAAAGCTTGGTAAATGCTCATTCCTTCTTTATTCTTAAACATTTTTAGAAAAATGTTGGTGCCATGGCAACTTCTAAAATTGACCAAAGGGGTCATTTTATTTCCCTGGTAATACGGTGTCAAAATTTTTTTAAATATACTTTTTATGTGTCTAAATCCATTATAGTCATTTTCCCATCCTATACGTATTTATATGAAGGCATAATTTAATATAATAAAACCATCCTGATTGTCAGCCCTAAGTGGAGGGTTGCTTCCCACATTTGCATAAACCTCTGCAATCACCCCCCAATGTGACATTGGACATAATCTGCCTGAGAAGAGCTTTCTCTGGCTCAACTGTTCTTTCTGCTTCCCTAGACCCTTCCATCTAGGCTGCCATGTCCTGATACTCTGCCACAGATGAGTGGCCAAAGCCCCAAGAAAGGCACCGGAGTGTTTAGACTGTATTGTGGCCACCCATATTCCACTAAAGTCGAGTTTCCGAGATTCTTCCGTGTTGTCGCTTGTGGGAAACAGCAGCTCTTTTTAAAAGACAGGATCTCACTTTTTAGATCAAGCTGGCTTTGAACACACAGAAATCTACCTTCCTCTGTTTCCTGATTGCTAGGATGAAGTGGGGTGCACCATCACACCCAACCTCATTCTTTTTATGCTGTTGTTTGATTTATTATTATTATTATTGAATGTATGTATGTGGGGTAAGTGTACAAGTTTGTGAAGTCAGTTTTCTCCTCTCACCTTTATGTGGGTTTTAGGGATTGAACTCTGTTTGTTGGGCTTTCTTAGCCGTCAGTCACTCTTACCCACTAAGCCAGCTCCACAGTCCGTCTATGGCTCGTTCTCTGAATTGCTGAGAAGGGAGGATTTCATTGTGGGAATACAAGTGACCATTAGTTTTCATTTTCCTGCTGAAGAACAGTTGGGTCATTTCTGATTTGGAACTGTCTTGAGGATTCCCCTAAAACGCTCTTTTGGGTACA